GGTCCTGGAGGCCCTGCCACTCTCTACATCCCCTACCTTCATAGTGGACTCTGAGGAAACCCCTAGGACTCTAGGGCATAATTTCAAAAACATTGCACTAGTCCAACGCCCAACTAATGATGGAATCTTTTCTACGACATCCCTACTAAGTGTTCAGCTAGCCTGTGCTTGAATTTCTCCAGAGCCTGGAAAGTCACTGTTCTGAAGCAGCCTGGAGGGGCCCGGAAGTCAGGAAAAGTGTCTTATTCAATTTTGTAATCATCCTGTGCCTAGCACTTGGATTTGTAATCAGTGCATCCTAAGTATTAATTGAGTGAATGGATGAATAGAAGTATAAAAGAGTTTTTTGGTTGCCTCACTTCCAGCAAATGTGTAAGTCACAATTGCTTTAATCTTTCAAGCATTAACATTATGTCCTTTAATCTCACTTCTCTTGTTTTCTGTCTCAATTTATTCTAAATTATGAATACAGTACTTATATAAAGAGATTTACTATTCTGATTAGGCTCCATGACCATATTTTTACACATGGAAAATTCAATAAATTTTCAACCAATTCAGTCAAAGAAGAAAACTTTTTTCTAAGACCTAAATCTCAGTCTTGCTTTATAAAAAATGTGGCTGGGGTGTTTGTAACAATCTTTAAAATATTTAAATCTATTTCACATGTATCACAAAGGGAACAATGATTATAATGTAAACATTAAAACTGTTGCTATTTCTACCATAGCATGACTGAGCTTACACTTCAATAGCTCTCGGAAGACAGGTGGGGCATATTTAGAGCGTATGCAAACATTTGTATGGAAATTCCAGAGCTATATAGAAGTGGTAGTTTGTTGTGTGAACATGTCTAATTCAGTGCACTCAAAGAGTAGTAAGATCTTAGAATCATCATACACTTTAGAGAAAGTTGTGTGTGTGTGTGTATATATATGTGTATATATATGTGTGTATATATAGATATACATATATATATATATATATATTTTTTTTTTTTCTTGTTGCCCAGGCTGTAGTGCAATGACACCATCTCAGCTCACAACAACCTCCGCCTCCTGGGTTCAAGCAATTCTCCTGTCTCAGCCTCCTGAGTAGCTGGGATTACAGGCGTGCACCACCACACCTGACTAATTTTATATTTTTAGTAGAGACAGAGTTTCTCCATGTTGGTCAGGCTGGTATTGAACTCCCGTCCTCAGGTGATCTGCCTGCCTCAGCCTCCCAAAGTCTTGGGATTACAGGTGTGAGCCACCTCGCCCAGCCAAAAGTTGTATGTTTTTATCATTCGTCCCTAAAACAACCCTGCAAAGTGAAGAAAAATAGTATTTATTTGGGTTAATAAGTTGCGTTTTGATACTAATTCTAGGACCACTTTTTTTGTTGTTGTTGTTAGGACCACTTTTATTTCTAGCAAGCGTAAGGCATTGTAGGTTTTTTGGTTTGTTTGTTTGTTTTGTTTTTTGAGACAGAGTCTTGCTCTATTACCCAGGCTGGGATGCACTGGCACAATCTCAGCTCACCACAACCTCCACCTCCTGGGTTCAAGGTATTCTGCTGCCTCAGCCTCCTGAGTAGCTGGGATTACAAACTACTCAGGAGGCTGAGGTATAGCATACTCATGGTATGCCACCATGCCTGGCTAATTTTTGTATCTTTAGTAGAGACAGGGTTTCACCATGTTAGCCAGACTGGTCTCCAACTCCTTCAAGTGATCTGCCTGACTCAGCCTCCCAAAGTGCTGGTATTACAGATGTGAGCCACTGCACTGGGCCTGGGTTTTTTTGTTTGTTTTTGAGGCAGAATCTTGTCTATAGGCTGGAGTGCAGAGGGATGATCAAGGCTACTGCAGCCTCAAACTTCTAGGCTGAAGTGATCCTCTCACCTCAGCCTCCCAAATATCTGGGACCACAGACACATGCCACTACAGCCGGGTAATTTAAAAAAAAAAAAATTGTGGCGATAAGGTCTCATCATGTTGCCCTGGCTAATCTGGAACTACTAGGCTTGAGCAATCCTCCCTCCATGGCCTCCCAAAGAGCTGGGAATACAAGCGTGAGCCACCATGCCTGGCCAGTAGTTTTATATCGTATTTAGCCTTCACATAAAACAAATTCGTTCATGAATGCTTTCTGCTCAGTTGTTTTTATTTCTTCTTGAAATGTGCCCATTTTTTTCTTCATAATTATGTAGGATGATTTGGACACTGAAACTAAAATGGAAGACCAGGAAAAAGTCCCTGGATCATCTGAACTTGGAGGTAAGAAGTTAATGAAAATGTAGATTAACTCACTTCCAATTCAATTTTATATCTGCTTAACTTTTTTTTTTTTTTTTTTTTTTTTTTTACAGAACCAAGTTTAGTTTGTGAGGAAGATGAAATTATGAGGTCTAAAGAAAGTTCAGATCTTTCCATTTCTCATTCTCAGGTACAAACTTGATAGTTCCATCTCACTTTTGTTTTGTTCAAAAGGCAGTTCCTTATATGCTATTTTTTTATTTTTTAGATTTTGTTATTCCAGGTCTTTTAGAATAAAATTCAACATTTAGAATGCTTATTATTAACTAAACTGGCAATTATATGTTGATGAATTTTGAGTATATTACTGGTAGATTTGCTTAGTAATAAACCTAAATACTCTTGGTAGAATCTGAAAATTACTGGATAGAATCTTAGGCAGTTATTTATTCCACCCTGCTTCGTATTTACAAATGGAATATATAATACCTTTTTGTTGCCTTGAGCATAACATGTTTTTTTTGTTTGTTTTTTTTTTTTTAAAGATGAGGTTTTACCATGATGGCCAGGCTGGTCTTGAGCTCCTGACCTCAGGTGATCCACCCACCTCAGCCTCCCATAGTGCTAGGATTAGGCATGAGCCAATGCGCCCAGCCAGTAACATGTTTTATTTTGTTTTTCAAATACAGTAAAATCCTGAAATAATAGATTTAGGTAATATGAACTTGGAAATAATCTGATTAATGATTGATTGTCTACTTTCCTCTGTCCAGCCTATTTCTCAAATGAGTAGACTAAACTTCTTGTCTTCTGGAAGGGTAACGCCTGGTGATCATTTGGGACTTTCTCAGTTCAGTGATTGGCCAATTGTGTAAAGTGTCAGTTTCACTATCTTTTGTGCTTTTCGTGACAGTATGAACCAACTCAAAATTATTGGTTTTAACTTAACAAGACCCTAAATTTTATGTGATTAAATTTTTGGACCCCATTTATTGTTTTATGAAAAGGTTTTATTATATTAAGTTATATTTTGTGTAATTATTTTCTTTTTTAGGTTGAGCAGTTAGTCAATAAAACATCTGAACTTGATATGTCTGAGGGCAGAACAAGAAGTGGAAAAGTCTTTCAGAATAAAATGGTAAATATCTCTTTAGGCTTGTTTTCCATTCTAACCTTGTAATTCTCCTCCATATGTGAGTTTATTTTAGTATTTCATTTATTAGGCCAATATTTACTAAGTACCTATTATGTATCAGGTACTTTACTAGGTGCTTGGGATATAACCTGAATAACATATATTTCTTGGTCTTAGCTAAAATTCAGTAACTAGAAATAAACAAGCAATGATATAGGGCCACTAAAGAAGTCTGAATAGACTACATAGGCAGGCACAAAGAAAGGAATGGTTAATTCACTGAAGGTATATTAAAGGAAGGGACCCAGAAAAGGCTTTGGGAAGAAGTGATACTATCATCCAGACTCCCAGAGAAATTTCCTGGAATGCCAGAATATTCCCATGCTCGATCTCTTTTTTTTCTTTTTAAAGTAAATTTCATTTAAGTTCCAAGATACATGTGCAGGATGTGCAGGTTTGTTACATAGATAAATGTGTGCCATAGTGGTTTGCCACACCTATCAACCCACCACCCAGGTAGTAAGCCCCACACATATTAGCTATTTATCCTAATGCTCTCCCTACCCCCGCCCTCCTGACCCAGTGTGTATTGTTCTCCTCTTTGTGTCCATGTGTTCCCATTGTTCAGCTTCCACTTATAAGCAAGAACATGTGGTGTTTGGTTTTCTATTCCTGTGTTAGTTTGCTGAGGATAATGACTTCCAGCTCCATCCATGTCCCTTCAAAGGACATGATCTCATTCCTTTTTATGGCTGCATATTTTCTTTATCCAGTCTATCATTGATGGGCATGTGTGTTGATTCTATGTCTTTGCTATTGTGAATAGTGCTGCAATGAAAATATGCATGCATGTATCTTTTTTTTTTTTTTTTTTTTGAGACAGAGTTTTGCTCTTGTTGCCCAGGCTGGAGTGCAATGGAACAATCTCCCCTCACTGCAACTTTTGCCTCCTGGATTCAAGTGATTCTCCTGTCTCAGCCTCCTGAGTAGTTGGGATTACAGGTGGCCACTACTACACCCAGCTAATTTTTGATATTTTTAGTAGAGTCAGGGTTTCATCATGTTGGCCAGGCTGGTCTCAAACTCCTGACTTCAGGTGATCCACCCGCCTTGGCCTCCCAAAGTGCTGGGATTACAGGCGTGAGCCACCATGCCCGGCCAGCATGCATGTATCTTTATAATAGAATGATTTATATTCCTTTGGGTATATACCTAGTAATGGGATTGCTGGGTCAAATGGTATCTTTGGTTCTAGGTCTTTGAGGAATCACCACACTGTTTTTCACAATGGTTAAACTAATTTGCATTCCCGCCAACAGTGTAAAAGTGTTCCTATTTCTCCACAGCCTCACCAGTATCTGTGGTGTCTCATTGTGGCTTTGATTTGCATTTTTCTGATAATCAGTGATGCTGAGCATTTTTCATGTTTATTGGCCACATAAATGTTTTCGTGTTTATTGGCCACACTTCTTTTGAGAAGTGTCTGTTCATGTCCTTTGCCCACTTTTTAATGGAGTTGTTTGTTTTTTCTTGTAAATGTTTTAAGTTCCTTGTAGATTCTAGATATTAGACTTTTGTCAGATGGATAGATTGCAAAAATGTTCTGTAGGTTGTCTGTTCACTCTGAAAAATATGGACTGCTTCACGAATTTGCATGTCATCCTTATGCAGGGTCCATGCTAATCTTCTCTATATCATTCTAATTTTAGTATATTTGTTGCCAAAGTGAGCACCATGCTCGATGTTATAAATTGAGTATCTTGTTAATAAGATATTACAAATTAATCTTTTGCATATCTATATTGTTCTAATATTTGCTGCCAAAGTAAGCACCATGCTCGATCTTATAAACTGAGTATCTTGCTAATAAGATATTACTAATTAATCTTTTGCATATATCTTGTATAAAATGAATCTCATGTTCTTAAGGGAAAAAAATCACTGCTTTATTTTAGCTTTTGGTATGAATTATACTAAATCAAAATTCATATTTGATTTTAGACTTTAAGTTACTCTCAAAGGTTCATCAGGGGTGAAGAAAAAGCATTCTGTAAAATAAATAAAATATCCAAAGTTTAGGAAAGAAATAGCTCACTCTGTTAGTGGTGTGCTAGAACATTTCTTTCCAACTCTTCACTCAGAGATATCATGTTGGTAGCTTAAATTGGACATATTGGTAGTATTCACAGCACGGAAATCAGCAAATGCCTCAGGGGTTGTTTCTGTCATAGAGCTGGCTATTAAACATTTATCAGAACACTACTCATTATAGTGCCATTTTTAGGTGTCTTCCCCTACCCCTGTTCTCAATGGGAAGTTAGAACTGGCAGAAGGCAGCATTCAAATGAGTATGCTCATGAAAGCAAGAGATAAAGGAATGTCAAGATTTACTACTTATAGAAGCAAAATATTCATCCTAGCCAATTTCTGTTTGGATGAATAACCTTTACTAGGATATAGGGATAGAGACCAGAATTTAAAAATTATTAAGCAAGATTTCCTCGTAATGTAACATTAAAATGCTTTGAGGACATAAATTTATTTCTGAAACTGCACACATTTTTGGACATGAACTCTGAGCCAGTGTACTCCTGATTTTGAGAATTATTACTGAATTGTGGTTAGAAAAGGGCAAGCAATGAAAATATTCACTATTATATATACTAAGGAATTATCATTGGAAAGAAAATTTCAAACATCAGAAAAGAAGTATGTCCTTTTAGAGAATAGTTATATGACACCTAATCATTTGTAATTTCCAATATTCATTTTAATAACTGTATATACAGCATTATTCACAGTAGCCAAAAAATGGGAAAAACCTAAATATACATCAACAGATGAATGGATTAATAATGTGGTGTATTCATACAATTGAATATCGGCCATAAAAAAGAATGGAGTGCCAATACATGCTACAACTTGGATGAACCTTGGAAACATGCTAATTAAAGGAAGTTACTCACAAAAATTCACATATTACATTATTTCATTCATTTGAAAGTCAGAACTGGGAAAGTTATTGAGACAGTCTGAAGGCTCATGGGAGGATGTCAGAATAAGAGAGTGATGGGTAAGGGAAATGGGGTTTCTTTTTAGGGTGATGAAAGTGATCTAAAATTGATTTTGGTGACGGTTATACAGCTCTGCGAATGTACTGAAAATCATTGAATTGTATACTTATAAATGGGTGAATCATATAGTATCTGAATTATGTCTCAATAAAGCTGTTTTTTAAAAAAATTGTATATCCAGCTGGGCACTGTGGCTCACTCCTATAATCCCAGCACTTTGGTAGGCTGAGGCAGGAGGATCACTTGAAACCAGAAGTTTCAGGCTGCAGTGAGCCATGATTGTGCCACTGCATTCCAGCCTGGGTGACAGAGGGAGATCCTGTCTCTAAAAAGTAAATAAATAAATAAATATTGCATATTGCTCCATAAGATTGAAAAATCCAAGTATTGGCTGTTCTTTGAGAAATAACCAATTAGTAATTATTCTATCTTTGTGGAGGCAAATGGAAATCCACCAGTAAAATCTTCCAAAGAAAATCGGAAGAGAAGTCAACATGAATCTGGGAGAATAGTAAGTCTTATGATAATGTATAGTTTGAATACAATGGCAAGTATCAGAATATCATTACTATAAATTAAATTCAAAATGATGAATTTTATATCCCTCGATTTACCAGAGAGCTCTGATATTCAAATTTTGTTTAAATATATTTTGTTCTAAAAATCGAGGTGATTTTGAAATAAGATGCACTATGTTGGTTTACTAGTTTTTTCCATGTAAACATCTCCTGTCTCATTCCATGAATGATTTAAAGTAATTGGAGAAACTGTAATATAAATTAAAAATCAGTGTCGGGAAAAATATAAGTAGAACAAGAAAGTGACAGAACAAGAATATTAAGCCCATTTTATTTCCATACAACTGAAATTGGGCCACAAATTTGATCTCAGCTTTCTAGAGACCAAAACTAAAGTAGAAGGAGGATAAGTTACTAAATCCATGTGTTCTCTAAAAATATATGGTCTCCTTCTAGTACCTCTAGAGAAAGAAAATTTTTCCTGACCTAAACCGTATAGTTGTTTCATATTTAGAACCTTATTTTACCAAATCAAATAATGTATTTGCCATTTCTGAGTTAATTATTCATATTTTTCTAACTAGATATTTTAGTATTATTAGTAGGTTAAAATTAGACAACTGAAAACTTAAGACTATTTTTAAAAATCAAATGTTAGGCCCGGCGCGGTGGCTCAAGCCTGTAATCCCAGCACTTTGGGAGGCGAGGCAGGTGGATCACGAGGTCAAGAGATCGAGAATCCTGGTCAACATGGTGAAACCCTGTCTCTACTAAAAATACAAAAAATTAGCTGGGCATGGTGGCGCGTGCCTGTAATCCCAGCTACTCGGGAGGCTGAGGCAGGAGAATTGCCTGAACCCAGGAGGCGGAGGTTGCAGTGAGCCGAGATCGCGCCATTGCACTCCAGCCTGGGTAACATGAGTGAAACTCCGTCTCAAAAAAAAAAAAAAAATCAAATGTTAACGTCCCAAGAGTACAAAAGCAAGACATAAATTAAATCTTACATGATTTCAAGTTAGAATATTTTTCTATTTGTAGTTCATTTAAAAAATTTTTTTCCCTTCTTATTCCTCTGAAATATTTGGCTATTTTTTTTTCTTTTTCTAATATTTGGCTATTTTGAGGACATAATGTTAAATTATCCTCTCACTACTACAGCAATCCTATTGAAGATCATACATTTTGCAAGTATATACTTCAAAAGCCATTGGAAGATGTTAATAATAAATTTTACTCTACTTTTTTTTTTTTTTTTTTTGAGACGGAGTTTCACTCTTGTCGCCCAGGCTGGAGGGCTGGAGTGTAGTGGCGCGATCTCGGCTCATGGCAACCTTGACCTCCCGAGTTGAGGTTGCCATGAGATTCTCCTGCCTCAGCCTCCCGAATAGCTGGGATTACAGGCATGCTCCACCACACCTGATTAATTTTTTGTATTTTTTTTAGTAGAGACTAGGTCTCTTCATGTTAGTCAGGCTGGTCTTGAACTCCCAACCTCAGGTGATCCACCTGCCTCGGCCTCCCAAAGTACTGGGATTACAGGCGTAAGCCACTGTGCCCTGCCAATTTTACCCTACTTTTAGGAAACCCAGATATCCTATCATAGTAGGAAGTAGTTATGCTAGGTATGCTAGGCATAATTTTTTCAAAAAAGGAAAGAAATCTCAGATACGTGAAAAAATCTAAAAGACATTTAAACAGGAAAGTATCTATTCTTAATAATTGTTTTCTTTTGACAGGTCCTCCATCACTTTGATTCTAGTCAAGAGTCAGTACCAAAAAGGAGGAAGTTTAGTGAACCAAAGGAGCATATGTAAAAATTGGTTTTCTTCTGCATGTTCGCAAAGTTCTTCTCAACATTTAAACCGAAGGATACTGTATTATGTTTCCCTAACTCTGAAAATGTATATGTAGTTTAAAGCAGTTTGTACACTAAAATTAAGTTCTTGACTATCATATTGTGGTCCTTAATCTTGAGATAAATCCAACAGAACTTTTGAATAAAAGCAAAAGTACAAATGTCATAATTGATTCTGTAATAAGTAAAATTTAAAAATTGATTTTGTTAATTATCTACTTAATATTTTCTTTAAATATATACTGACTGTTAAGGCCCTCTAATCATTTTTCTAAACAAGTAATGTTTACTTTGGTATTAAAATTTGGTATGGATTCACTTTTTACTTGTGTTAAAATTATACCATTTAACTGACTCTTTTGTCATTGTGTTATTAAAACTATGTTCTTCAATATTTTGATATAATGTATTAACATTATAATATATAATGTACAATTTAAAATTGGTTCTTTACCTTTTTTAAACCTTTTTTAACAGGACAAAAAGATGACTGATTTTTAAAGTATGGCATTTTTTGTAGCATAAATACTGTTTAGTATGTAGGTCCTTTCATCGCTTCTAATTTTTATTTAATTAGCAGGAAATATGACTCCATTAATTTGAAAGGCTGGTAGGAGGATGGGAGGATAGGGAATACTAATTTTTAGATGATTTCTGTAGCTATTACTTTGCAAGAAGAGTTGAGCACACTTTCTAGAATTTTTGAGTGGTAATATGAAAAATGCTGTGCTTTTTTTTTTTAATTGCATTTTAGGTTTTGGGGTACATGTGAAGAACATGCAAGATTGTTGCATAGGTACACATGTGGCATTGTGATTTGCTGCCTTCCTCCCCTTCACCTATATCTGGCATTTCTCCCCCTGCTATCTCTCCCCAACTCCCCATCCCCGCTGCCCCTCCCCTATTTCCCTCCAACAGACCCCAGTGTGTGATGCTCCCCTCCCTGTGTCCATGTGTTCTCATTGTTCAACACCCGCTTATGAGTGAGAACATGTGATGTTTGATTTTCTGCTCTTGTGTCAGTTTGCTGAGAATGATGGTTTCCAGGTTCATCCATGTCCCTACAAAGGACACGAACTAATCGTTTTTGATGGCTGCATAATATTGCATGCTGTATATGTGCCACATTTTCCCTGTCCAGTCTATCATTGATGGTCATTTGGGTTGGTTCCAGGTCTTTGCTATTGTAAACGGTGCTGCAATGAACATTCGTGTGCATGTGTCCTTATAGTAGAACGATTTATAATCCTTTGGATATATACCCAGTAATGGGAGAAAAATGCTGT